GTTCATGTACAAATGGCAAAGAATTTGAATCAAGAACAAGATATTTATCATAATGACTTATTTGGTGAACCACTCGAATTGATTGTAAATATGGCATCGATTTTTCGAGCAGAAGCAGGCAACTGCCCAATGTCGAAGTTCTATGGATTAGTACATCCAGCGCTTGATTGTTTTATGAGTATAATACCGTACTAATACAATATAATGAACAAGATTTTAGCTTTTTTTTTATTATTATTACTATCTAGTTCTGTCAAATTTACCTTACCGATTCATACCGCTAGTGCATTAGTATAGCATGGGGGAAAGGGATGAAGCCACTGGACTATAGAATTAGTAAGAGTAATAAACCAAGAAACAGCACAAAAGGCTTAACAGCTTGGTGAAGAGTTACATGTAAAGGCCCTAGGAGAAACAGAAGCAAGAATTTAAAGTACCCAACAAAATAGAAGGAAAGAAAAAGGATAACTAGTAACCAATGAACCACACACCCATGTTTATGATAAATACATATTAACCCTTAATAACCATGGAAATCAAATGGTTTTCTTTTATAAGACATAACCATGAACCATCTCACACACTGGAAACAAAACCAATCAAGAACAGCCCCAAGCAAGCAATAATAATGGTAAAATCCACCTCTCAAGATGAGTCGGGCGAAACTTGGATATCTGAGTAAAAAAAAAACCCATTTTATTAGGCCTCCATTCGCCAAAATATAAATTATTTATAAACAAACAAACTTCATTTTCAACACACATTTCAATGGATCTACAAGTACTATCCACTTATCCACCACTCATTTCTATCTATTCATAAATTCTTCCCAAACGGAGGCTAGTTAATTAATCTTCAAGAAGCAATTATATCAAGGATCTAGCACATTAATAAATGCAACTCTACATGTATAGACTGGTCCAGCTACCTTCTAAGTTCATTCAATCTAACAGAAATTGCAGCCAAAGATCATATATTGGAACCATCTTTCCTATACTGATACTCAAGTCAAAAAGACTGAAGAAATAAACTATCTAATTTAACTCTCTCCTTCTCTCTAGATATTTTCTTCACATAAACCTTTTCTAATTCATCTAGTTAGAGGATCTATATTGTAGTCATAGCCTGATGTCAGCATAATTTTAGTTCTCTCTATCTCCTTAACAGACACGTGGACGACAACATGAGTAAATGGAATTAACTTAGAGTCCGTTTGATTGCAAGGTTGGAAAATGAGTGGAAAGAAAATGTTTTACAGGGAATTGATTTTCTTAGAAAATGTTTTATTAGGAATTGTAATTAATTGTGTTTGATTTGTATAATTTTCCATGGAAAATGTTGAAAATTTGGTGTCCATTTGACTTCGTTTTTTATGGAATTTGTCCATTAAAATGATAATTTTTTCTACCATTGA